AGAGGGAACCTCCACTCCGCAGTGGCTGAGGCTGGAGTCCAAGCTATGTGGGGGAAGTAGAAAGAGAGGAGGCTTCTCTTCAGCCATTCCTACCTCATTCCCTCCTCTCATTCCCTAAGATCAAAGCTTGAACATCACCATGCCTGCCTCCCTCCCTCCCCTGCCCTCTCTTCCCTTGGAAATGGCCATTTTCCAGTCACATCCCTAATTCATTAGCTTGGGTTCTGGAATGGACATGGATAGGCTGCCATCCATCCATCCACCTCCTGGGGCCACAGGGGCCAGCAGGAGGTCCCGGGGCTCTTGCCCCATTACCTTCCAGGGGGCTTGGGGCGTCGGGCCGAGGCTTTGGCCGCTCGCTTCCTCAACTTTCTGTGAGGATAAGACAATAGTCAAGATCAGTGTAGAACCAAGTGGAAAAGGCTGATGCAGCTGGAACTAGAGATTCCAGCAGTCAGAAAGTTCCCCGATGGCAAGATGTTACGTCAGACACGCCCAAAGCCCTAACCTTCACAGCAGTTGGGCCATCAGCACACGACTGCCAGGCGTGTGCACAGCAATAAGGGCCATGGGCTCAGGACAGATACTCTCCCTCTACCAGCACCTTCGGAGGTTAGACTAAAGCAGACGGGGAATAAGGACTCCTGGGTCCAGATTTTAGTTCAACTTCAGGGCAGAGATTGGGGAAAGGTAGTAGGATTATTAGAATTAACCAGGTAGACCAGGTTAGGAGAGAGAACCATCCTAGGGAGGATGACTGTATCTTTTTACCCCTCCTCGGATTCTCTCTCTAAGACAGTCTCCTGACATTGTCTAAACAATGGTTCTTCAGGACCACAGACCAGGGCTGGATAACAAAGGACAATGACTTAGTTTGACTGGGAGCATGACGGTGGGCTGCTTAGGATGACAGATGACAGCTCCCCTGCTGCTCAGGTTCAATCCTATAAACTTTGGTCATTCACAAACTGAGCTAATTCCCCAAACTTGTAGAGAAATCAACCTATCTTATTCTTTTTAAAAATTTGCCAGAGGGCATGTGTGCTCACCAGAGAGAGAGGAAGAGAGAAAGAGAGAAAGTGAAAGAAAGAGAGAAAGCACTTCCCATGGGGAATAGTCACCCTGCAAGCTCTTCCCCTCCATTCCTATCTCCTTTTGGGGTTTTGGGCACACAAGCAGCCTGTTAGGTTTTCCAGGCTGCTAGGTTCGGGACTCAAACTGTGCTGTCAGCCGTGTCAGATTCAGCTGCCGTAACCACCATGCCACTGGCTAGCCCCCTTACTTCTTTTTAATAAGGACAGAAGTCTGACTGCTTTTTTTCCTATGTCCAAAATCCTTTCCAGAGGGCCTGGAGAGTCAGGCCCACAAACATCAACAGACGATTGGCCCGTTAATAACAGGACTCTTCCTACATCCTGAACCTGGCATGGTAACCTTGTGATATATATTAAGCCTCCTTATCTCTGTTAAAGTACATTCCTTTGCTGCTCAGTAGATTTTCCTTTTCCAATCACCAGCCTAAAAGCTGTAAACCTCACCTATAACCTATAAGTCTCCCCCCACCCCCTATCCCCATCCCAGCTTCTGGATGTCCCTCCTTTTTGAGCCAGGCCAATGGAAAAACTCTGTACTAAATTCCAAACTTTGTCTCTGGCTCACAAAACTACATAAAAGAAACCCACATACCTGAACACCCAGAGATAGACTTATATTCACATTTAGAAAAAAACTGCATTAACTATTATTTTTACAGAGTTGGCTATTTTTGCCGACATTAATTGGCCTAAGTAACTTACTTATTTTATTCTTCAAGAGTTTTTCATGGAGCTGGCAGCTGGCGTGGTGGTTAAGACACTGGACTCCCACATGGCTGACTACAGTTTGAGTCATGGCCTTGGCAGCTTTCTCTCTCATCAAACTGAAGAATAATAATAAATAACAAAATAAGTAATGCTTTAAAAAAACAGTTTTTCTTTTCTTTTTTGAGAGGTTTTTGCTGTAGGACGCATGCGCTCTCCAGAAAGACAGACAGACAGCGAGAAATCAACCCCTGGGGAGGATGGCCACACCGCAATCCCTTCTCCTCCATTCTTCTCTCGGTATCTTGGGCACGCACACACATGTGCCCGGCGTGAGTTTAAGCCACCGGGTTTGGAACTTGAACTGCGGTTGACTACATGGGAGTCCAGCGACATAGCCATTATGCCATATGCTGGTCCCTAGTTGTCCTTTCTTTGAAAGCGTTCCTTCTCTGCTGTTTTTCTGTAGAGTCATTTTTTGACATAGTGAAGATGCACTAGAATTTTAATGTCTACATCTTAAAGAAGTTGAGAGCCTAGCTCATGTTTCCAGCCCCAGGTTCTTCCTGAGGATAGATGTGGGAAATCTTCAAAAAATTTGTAGAAACTGTGTATTTTGAAAAAGCTATGTATAGGGACCAGCAGGTGGCATGGTGTTAAGGTGCTGGACACTCCCACATGGCCACCATGGTTTGAGTCCTGGACCTGGTGGCTTGCTTTCTCACTTTCCCTCTCTCTCTTTCTCTGGTCAAATTAAAATAAATGAATGAATGAATAAAATTAAATAATTCTTTTTTTTTTAAAAAAGAGAAAGCTATGTATAGATTTCATTTGGGGGGGGCACCAAAATAAACCAGCAGTTCTTTAGCCCTATTTTTCCACACACTTTTTGAAATTTCATTTTTCCTTAGTTTGTCTTTTTGTCAAAATACCCAGTATGGGACTGGCTCCATGCTATAGCGTAATGCACTGTTCAGAAGAAGCCAGATCCCACGTGGTGACTATGGTTCAAATTCCTGGCGTCATCAGTCTGAAATATGACAGGGATGTGCATCAGTGCCCAAAAGCCATCAGGCTGGAGGACTGGGGGACTGGGATCACAGTGTGACCCTCCGGAGGGTACGCTTTTCTCTCTCATGCCCACACATGCATTTCATAATGAATAAAGAAAAACAATGACAAATCTTTAAATGTCCAGGTCCCTCTCCTGAGACATTAAGAATTTAAGGACAGTCCTGTTAAGGGAGCCAGATCCCACATGGTTGACTATATCAAAATCCCAGCCATCTATGGCCTGAAAACGTGTCAGGTGCCAGGCCAGCTAGGTGGTTTAGTGGTTAAGGTGGGTGGATCCCACTTGACTTAATGCACAGTTCAAGCCTTGGACCCAGGCTCGGCTATGTATGTGTCCAAAATCCCAAGAAGAAAATGGAGGAGAAAGGGTGCAGTGGTCATTTCCCTGGAGGGTGCTTTCTCACCTTCTCTCTCTGGCAAGCAACATGACGTACAGCAACATTTTTAAAAAAGAAAGAAAGATAAACACAAAAAGAGAGAAAGAAAGAAAAAAACATGCCAATGAGATGGAAAAACAGAAAAGGGTTTGTGGATGACCATGCCCCATGGGGGGTACTTTCTTTCTCCCCCTCTATTTTTCTATTTCTCTGTGGCAAGCTTATGTGCCCTCTGACAAATTAAAATAGTAATAATAAGAAGAATTTAGAACTTCTCCATCTTATAAATATGGTTTGGAATTTTTCCTCCAAATGTCTTTTTCACAAACACATATAAAATGTCTAAAACAAAGTATTCATGGCATGTTCTTTCACCAATCAACTCAAAATAATCATCTTGATCTCTGGATTAATACTTAGAAAAATTTAGAAATACCTCTTCTCTAAGTTATTTAAGGACTTTATATTATAAAGTCTTTACATTTTACACACATACACACACACACACACTGGGCATGCACGTGCGCACGTGTGCCTACACATACACACACACACACCTGGCGTGAGTTTTAAGACGCCAAGTCCAGGATCTGAACTGTGGTCAACTATGTGGGAGTCCAGCGATGTAACCATTGTACCATCTGCTGGTGCCTGCATGATTTTCAAGCCTCTGGGTTTGGGATTTCAACTGAGTTTGGCCATGTGGTAGTCCAATGCCTTTTTTTTTTTTTTTTTTTTTTAAGAATTTGGCCAATGCTTTTTTTTTTTTTTTTTTTTTTTAAGAATTATTTATGGGGACCAGTAGGTGACATAGTGGTTAAGGCTCTGGACACTCCCACAAGGCCAACCATAGTTTGAATCCCAGACCTGGTAGCTTGCTTTCTCACTTTTCCTCTCCCTCTCTCTCTCTCTGTATGTCTCTCTCTGGTCAAATTAAAAAGAAAAAAAAGAATGAATAAATAAAATTAAATAAAAAATAATTCTAAAAAAAGAATTACTTATTATTAAATTAATTATTATTTTAAAAATTTGCTAAAGGGCACGAGAGAGAGAGAGAGAGAGAGAGAGAGAGAAAGAAAGAGAAAGCCACCAGGTCCAGAACTCAAACTGTGGTCTGCCACATGGGAATCCAGTGCCCCAACCACCATGCCATCTGCTGACCTGGGAATCCAATGCTTTAACCACCCTGCCACCTACTGGCTCCACCATAGCCTGGTTTTATTCCTAATTCTGGTTATTCTTTCCTGATCTTCTTTGCTAGCTCCTCCTCTACCTAATCATTTAAACTATGGTGTGTGTGTGGGGGGGCAGGCGGCCAGCATGCAAGGTGG